TTATATTTAAGGTGTGTTTAGATTGTTTTTTTGTTTTGTTTTTTAAAAGTTGGTTTATTTAAAATTTGTTTTTAGGTTCAAAAAATCTGATTTTTATTTACACAACGCGATTTCAAACCGTTGGTTTTTTGTGCGGATCTTTTTATTTAAACAACGCATTATCCAACCGTTGGTTTTTTGTGAGTTTTTTTAATTTAATTATAGTTAGGTTTTAGTTTTTGTGTTTGACATTGTGATACTAAATAATTGAAATTACTAGAGTTTGACATTGTGTGATACTAAATAGACGAAATTACTAGAGTTTGACATTGTGTGATACTAAATAGACGAAATTACTAGAGTTTGACATTGTGTGATACTAAATAGACGAAATTACTAGAGTTTGACATTGTGTGATACTAAATAGCTTATAATGATAGTACTAGCAAGGTTGACATAGTGTGATGCTAAATAGTTGACAGTCCTAGAGTTTGACATTGTGTGACACTAAATAGTTGAAAGTACTAGAGTTTGACATTGTGTGATACTAAATAGCTTATAATTGATAGTACTAGCAAGGTTGACATAGTGTGATGCTAAATAGTTGATAGTCCTAGAGTTTGACATTGTGTGACACTAAATAGTTGAGAGTACTAGAGTTTGACATTGTGATACTAAATAGCTTATAATTGGTAGTACTAGCAAGGTTGACATAGTGTACTGCTAAATAGTTGATAGTCCTAGAGTTTGACATTGTGTGACACTAAATAGTTGAGAGTACTAGAGTGACTAACAGTTGTAGTATAACAGTTGTAGTATATATAGTAAAAAAGTTCTTTTACTATTAACTATTAACTGACAGTTGTAGTATATATAGTAAAAAGTTCTTTTACTATTAACTATTAACTAGCAGTTGTAGTATATATAGTAAAAAAGTTGTTTTACTATTAACTATTAACTAAAAGTTGTAGTATATGTAGTAAAAAAGTTCTTTTACTATTAATTATTAACTAACAGTAGTATATATAGTAAAAAAGCTATAGTATATAGTAAAGAAATATATAAAAAGTATATAGTAATATAGTTAATAGTTAAAAATTAATAGTTGACGATTAATAGTTAATAGCTGAAATTCAAAGTTGAAAATCTTGGTTATCAGTTGATGAGTTAATAGTTGATAGTTAATAATTAATAGTCTGTAACGGGACTAGAATGTTAGTCGAAGAAATGAGACCAAACTTGATAGTTTGTAGACTTTTGAATGGAGATAGATCAGGTCAGATGGTGTATATCCCACGCATCACTCTGTGTTGCGATGGAGAGTACCCATTTGATTTACACAGGCACCAATTTCCATTGGTGTTAGCCTTTGCAATGACAGTGAATAAGGCCCAAGGGCAGACATTAGAAAGATTAGGAATAGATTTGACCAAAGACGTATTTAGTCACGGTCAATTGTATGTGGCCCTCTCGAGGGTTAGATCTTGGAATTCGTTAAGAATTAGGTTATTAGAAACTAATAACGAGAGAAAAGTTATGAATGTAGTGTATAGAGAAGTAATAGATGATAGAGATTAGTATTAGATTTAGAATAAGATTTAGACTTAGAATTGAGTTATTTAGAGATTGTTCCAATCTAACAGGTCGATTTATTTAAAAAACCTTATATATTTTATAATATAAGATAAATACTATTGAGCCATTTTTTGTAAATGAACACCGAGAAAAGACTTGAGTTTGTGAAGGCAATATTTGGATTGAATTAATGTTTCGGTTTACTGATACAAGTGATGAACATGTTGATACACAAAAGGTAATACAAGTTTTTCTTAGTTAATAGTTAAATTATAGTTAATAGCTGAAAATTGAATTAATAGTTAATAGCTAAAAACCGAGTTAATAGTTGAAATATTAATAGTTAAAAGTTGAAAATCTTAGTTAATAGTTGAATTATAGTTATTGTAAATTGACAAAAAGAAATGACTTAAGTGTTCGTGAAGGAAATGTTTCGATTGTACTAATGTTTGGATTTGCTGATATAAGTTATGAATAGTTCAAGACACTTAAGGTAATACAGATTTTTTTTAATTCTAATATATAATTTTACGCAGCTATCAAGTCTTGAAGAGATTATCTGAACTATCAACTATTAAGTTTTGAAAATTATCAACAAGCAAGGATTCAAACTATCAAGTTTTGAAAATGTTGGAAAAACCAAATAAGATGAAGGTAAAGTGATGATTATTTTATATGAATAAAGTCCTTGAGTAGAATTGAAAATCTTAGTAATGGTTGAATCATGATTAATAATTAATAGTTTAATCACGGTTGATAGTTAATAGTTAAATCATAGTTAATAGCTAATAGTTGAATCATCGTTAATAGTTAATAGTTGATGAAGATATAATGATGAAGATATAACAAGATGATTAATTGATGAAGATATAACAAGATGAAGATATAATATAGTTAATAGTTAAATCATGGTTAATAATTAATAGTTGAATCATAATTGAAAGTTAATATTTGAAAGCTGGTTAATTGTTAATAGTTGTAAATAAAAATAATTAAATTCTATTGTAAATAAGTTTAAAATTTTAGTTTCAAAATTAAAAATGAGAAGCAATACATGAATTGTTTTGGATGATATCAAGGATTGTCATGGGATTCCATTCAGAACGGCACAAGATCAAGCTGAATTGTAGAAAAAAAACAAGATGAAGATATAAGAGGATAATTATTTTATTTGAAAAAAAGAAAAATTATTTGAGTATTGTTTTTCTACTAAACTAGCAAAAGAATGCTGGAATGTTGTAAGATTTGTACATAATATTACTATTATTTTCAAATCATGCAATATTTCAAAATTTGTTTTGTTAGTTTTTTTACACGTTCTTCCCAAATATATATGTGTTATTGATTGTTTTTTTGTTTTACGTTTTTTTAATGTTTTTAAAATCTGTTGAAATTAAAGTTTTAAATGTTTATTAATGTTTTTAGATGAATTTGATAGTTTAAGAGTTTTTCATAGGAATTTGATAGTTGAAAAAGTTGAGTATTAGAATGTGTTTTAAATGTTTTTTGTTTTGAGATTAATGAGATAGTTTATATGTTTTCCATTAAGGAAGTCAAAGGACATGAGAAAGTTTTCAAGGAATGAACGGTAATAAGTATTTGACTTGAGTTTGTTATGACTTAGGAAATGGCTAGCGGAGGAGCTCGCCCGAAGGGCGAGCACCTTCGCTAGTTATTGTAAAAAGTCGATTGCTTTAAAATCAATGGAATTATGACGGTGTTACGACAATTGCGGTCTCGGATTTAACAATTGAGGATTAAATTTTTTTTAAAAATTTAAAAATGATTGAAATGAATCCCTTTTTTAGCACTGAAAACTTTAAAAAATATTAAATTGGTAATTCTTCGGTTTTCGCCCCCCTCCTTTTTCGTTCCTCAAAGTATTAAAAAATGGTCAGTCAATCTTAATCGAGCAGTGTCGAATGACACCAAAATCGAGGTGATTGAACAAGAGTTGACAAAGTTATGACATTAATTATACCTATCGAAGTCGGCACTTATGTTATAACTTTGTCAAATCTTGTCCAAGCACGTCGATTGTGGTGTCATTCGAATCAGCTCGACGAGCTCTTTCGAATGAGCTATTATTTGCACAAACTTTTTTTATTTCAAAAAATCACCCCTGTGGTTTTTCAATTTTCAGGGGTCTGTATTTCTGTCCAATCAAGTCGGATTTTGTTGATTTTGTTATCATTCGACTCGATGTGTTCTATAACTTAAGTTTGACTGACCATTTTTTAATACTTCGAGGAACGAAAAAGGAGGGGGGCGAAATCCGAAGAATTACCATTAAATTTTTTAAAAATTTTATATCCGCAATTGTCGCATTCGTATGTGCTTATCCGTAATTATCGTACCGCCATTCTTACCTAGTTCGAAGAGCTCTTGAATGATATACAATTAATAATATATCAGACAAAAAAGCTCAAAATGGTCAGCAAAACAGAAAAAAGGGGGGAGTGTGTAAATAAGTATTTTGATTCATTACGATAATTTTTAGATATACGGAGGTAGGCAACTTGAAGATTACCGTACAATTGCTCATTATGATATCGAGGATGGGGCAACTATTCATGTTGTTATGCGTATGTCAGGTTGTTGATTTTATATATATATTGGCGAGAGAAAAATGTTAAGAATTTTTAAAAATTAAACTGATTTTTAAATAAATTGTTTTGAAACAAAATGTTTTTTAACCAAAGCTTCATAAAATTTTTTTGATAAATTTGTTGGATTTAAAAATATTTAGAGTAAAAAGTTTGTAGAATTTTTTGTTAATCTTGTTATTAATTTAGAACAAGATTTAATAATTCCCATCGATATTCCCTTTAATAACTTAATATTCAACGATGCCCTATGTGTAAATTTAACTGTAAATTAAAAGAATATCAAAACAACGAAAATTTTGGAATGCCATGGGCCGTTGTTTTTCCTCTATTAGCGCCCTAGGGAAAAATTTTGGAAATTTAGACAAAATCTTCAACCGGAAAATGCTTTAAAAATCAACGCAAATCTGAAACTTTTATCAAAATTACACTTTTCATCCTCTTAATCTCCAAATTCTACAACAAAAACAAATTTTCGTCCATCTCTGGTAGCGTTACCGTTTTCGAGTAGGGCCGACGGTCGAGGCACTTTTTCGAGCATCTTTTTATCGAGTCGTGCCTGTCCGAGTCATTTTCGGGCCTAACTTTATCGAATCAGGCCATACGAGTCTTTTTCGGGCCAAATATCTTTGGCACCGCTCGATCTTTTGGTCCGAGCCGGCCCACTTTGGCAGCCCTAATCTTTGGCCACAAAACAAAAATCTTTTTTTAGTCAACAACCTTTATTTAATATTTAAATCCTTAAATAAAATTGAATAAAAAAACTATAAAATAAGTTAACTATCATTTAATGATAACCCTTTAAATTATTCAAGTACTCTCTAGATATTCCTTTCTTAATTAACGAGGCACTAAAAGAGATTTTCCTCCATCAATTTTAAGTAATTCTCCAGTCGTGAAAGTTGCATCTCTTGCAAGATAAAGAATTCCTTTAGCAACTTCCTCGACTGTTCCACAACGTCCTAAAGCGTGACCAGCCTTTCCACGTTCAACAAACTTTAAAAGAATTTTTTTAGTTTTTTTTAATTTTAAATTATTTACATCTTTATATTCTTCTTCACTCATATAAGCTCGGCGATGCAAAGAAGTAACAATTAATGCTGGGCTTTAATTTTTAAAAATTATTAACTATCTTGTGCTGGTGGTTTTGGTTTCGAACCAACAACCCTAAATATGAGCCTTAGTGTAGGCAACACGAAGCCATAATAATTCTGTTCAATGGCAAGGAATATTTCCCAAGTAATACCTAATTGGGGACGAAAAAAAACAAGGGATTTGTGTTCAAATTAGAGAATGGACCGAGACGCATCTCGATCTAAAATCTGTTATCAAGGATTTTTAGAGATCTCAATTCTCGTACGACACTTGCAGTCCGGTCTCTAGTAAAAAGTCTAAAGATGTTTTTTTAGAAAATTTTTGCGAGTTTTGCAGATAACTATATGACAATGTCCGGAAAATCATCCCAAAAAATTTTTAATCACAAAACCTTGATTTATATATGTAAAAACTCGAGAAGTCAGAATTATTAAGCATTATTTTTGAATATCAGATAACCCTTTTAAAAAAATCCCAACAAACAAGCTTACTTCACAGCATTAACTCGAATCCCTTTTGGTGCTAATTCTTGAGCCAAACATTCAGTAAATTTGTCTACAGCAGCTTTAGACATACAATAATAAGTGACAGCCGGGAACTATTTTTAAATAAAAATTAAACAAAAATTTTAAAGGAGACATACAGCACAAATTCCAGAAATACTGCTAACTATAAAAGAGGAATTTTTACAAAATATATTATTTACAAATAAATAACCGTTAACAATACTTCCTTTAGTTTTTTCGAGATAAGGCACAGCTAATTGAGTTAAACGAATTAAACTTTTAATTAATTTTTTTAAAAGGTTAAATCTTCACACAAAAAAAACCTTTTAACATTAACTTCCATTAAATCATCCAAAACAGATAAAGGAGTTGTTTCAGCCCCTCCTCTATCTATTATTCCAGCATTATTTACCTTAAAAAATGTGTGTGAATGGAAAGTTTAAAATAAGTTTTTGCTGTTTTAGTTAATTTAGATGGGTCAAAGCCTGTATTCTATTACTATTTTATTTCCTAGGTGGGTACTGCCGAAGTAGGTGCGGGCATAACGGCCCAAAGACATAACTTGCTTCAAGATTTCCTAATCTTAACAACTTTTGTATTAAACGGTTCCTCTCATCGAGCTAATGAGTTTGGTACGAAAATTCGTAAGTGCCGGAAATTTTCCAGAAAGTTATGGCTTTGGGCCTTGGGCGTGTCCATTCCTAGGCCAATAAAGAAACTAAATCTTATAAATCTCGATTTATAATTTACATGAAAATTAACTTTAGTCTCATACTAGCTAGCTAAAGTTTAATATGAATTTATTTCTTAATCTAAAATTCTCTTCAATAAATTCTATCAACCCTCCCCTCCTCTTCTAAATAGTGAGTCATCCTTAAAAAATGGCATTTCATCCCACTTCCTATCTAACAAATTCTTACTAAAACATCAATTTGCCCAAATTTATCATTAGTTTGTTTGACTATATTATCCAAAGTTTTTTCTTCCCGAACATCTCCAATAGTCGTCACAATCTAATTTTAAAGATTTTAATGCTTTCCAGACATTTTTTCTTGTCAAAAACCTGTTCATTAGACAACCCAAACCCAATACATTCATCAACAACTTGTTTTAAATTAACTTCGTTTCGACCACAAAGAGAAAGTCGATAACCATTTTTAGCAAATAATAAAGCTGTAGCTTTTCCAATTCCCGAACTGGCACCTTTTTATTTTTTAATTTTTTTCAATTTATTTTTTTTAATTTATGTATTAACCTGTTATAATTGCAACAGTTTTAATTGTTGTCATAATTAAAATTTATTTTTCACTTAAATTTAAAAATTTATTTAGAGACGCGGTTGAATGAAAAATAATATATTAAGTAACTAAAATCTATCAATAAATAATTTCTGACTAACCAAAACACAAACGTTCATTTTGGTAATTTATTAATTGGTTCAGTTACTTTAATTTTTCTTTTTGTCAGAAATTAAAGGTGTAATCTCTCACTTTGAACTCGGCAATAAAATTCGGCAATAAAATGATAAAAATAGAATAATGTAATATGTATTCTTCCTTTTGGTTTTATGAATGTTGTGTGCCCTTGGACCTTAGATTTTTAAATTCCTTGCCTCCTGCGCTAAAAATTTTAAATTCTATAGTTGAGTGGAAGTATGCTGGGTCCATTCTGTCAAATATACCTAGGCACTATTACCATTATATTCCCTAAGGAAAGCTATTGGGTTGGCCAGACCCTAGCTAAGCCTTTACCAAGCAACACCGGTGTGCTTCCTCTTTGGGGCACATATATTAAAGACTGACTAACTGGGAACTGATTTATCGGTGAAACAATAAACAATATATAAACATAAGCATGTGAATGGGAGGTGACACAGGAAATAAAGATAAATAATAATTAAAGTGTAATGGTTGGGAAAATCCATTAACACATAATGCTCGCCCAAAAGATCACCTTTGCTCAGGCAATCAACGGATATACCTTACACCTCCCTTGCCCACCTAGACCGTCCCTGGTCGTCTTTAAATGTTAGAGTCACCCTTCTATTATCATTTAAATGAAACATGGTATTTTTAAGTATAGACATTTTTTGAGACAACTCTTTCCATTTACATTATTACGTCCTTAATTTGAAGACTGCCGAAGCCTCTTCACATACTGCATAATGGCCAAAGCCTGTAAGTGATCCTTTCAGGTCACTTTGTTTTATAGCGCATAGTTGACCCCATGGGTACATTTTTTTGTTCTGAATCTAGCCGAAGCCATACAGTCTTATTCATATTTTTAACTTGTTTTATGGAAAGAGTTGTTTTAGCTGTTATTTAAGATGACATGTTTCATTTATTTGATTTCTTAACTTCCCTAATAGTTTTCTATCCTATAAAAGTTAAAGGTTTTTTTTTGGTTGCCCAAGCGTTTATTTTATCCTCGTGCCTCTGATTTGGAATAGAGCATTATGTATTGGGTAATTTATCACATTAATCATTTTGGTGTAAATAACTATTTGGGGTTTTTAAAAGTGAATAAACAATATATAATGTGAAATAAAAATAGCGATAAAAGGAAAGGGAATGAAATAAATGTATGTGAAATAATCGAATTGTTAAATTAAACAATGGATACATAAAATTATTAAACATTTAAAATTAAATAAAATGAACCCATTTATTAGCCTAAGCCACTCTCTTCCTTATTTTTGACCGTCCCTGGTCAATTTACTAGTCCTATTTGGGGGGTTTCAATATATTATAAATCAATTCGGGTATACCTAAGTATATTGAAAATAACATTATTGTGAGGATTGGTAGGAAAAATAATTGCTGTAGATTTGTGTATGAGTATTATGGAAAATAAGGATTTCTCCAGTTTTTCCATCGTACTAATACAGATTTAGAGCAGTTATAAATCCTTAGCTTAATTCTGAGATAAAATTTGCCAGGTACTAAAAGCAACCTATAAAAATAAAGATATTTTCTCTGCCGAGATTAATATCTAGTTTTTTTTTGAAAGTCATTTGTAGTACAGCGGAAATTTTACGTACTATTGGGAACATTTAAATTAATAATATGGGGATTGTGGTAAATTATTAAAGTAAAGTCAAGTGCAAATATGAAATAAATGAGATAAATTAAATTTAAAAACAAATTCATCTGTTTAGCCAAGGCCAAAAGCATAAAGTTCCAATTCAGTTTGATTTGCCATCCAAATGATCCACATTATATGAAAAAAGGAAATTAGATTTATTTATTTATTCATTAAACTTTAACCAGAACTTTACCATCTGAGATTACCAATATTCCTTGTGGTGTTGCCAAAGCATCATTTGAATAGCATTGCCTGATAGCCAATTTATTATCTGAATTTGAAATAATTAGTATAATAAAATGAATTATTTAAATTTAAGTTTAGCCTTTTTTTAAAACTTCCTTTTATCTGTGTTTGAGCTCAGATGATTGTTCTATTGTTAACCAAATATTGTTTTCTGAAAGTAGAATCTAGGATTATTATATTTTTTAAATTTCTTTGGACTAGATTTTTAAACGCAACGCCAAAGATTATTTTACAAAAAGTATATAAACTATTAGGAGCCCAATACTTATATTATTCTTATAAAATTCTACATGTGTGCTAAAAGAGGCGTTTTACGATTACCAAAGTAAGCCCAATAATACATATACAACTTATTTAGTTTCGAAATAACTATTTTTACTAACCCAGAAACCGGCCTAAACCCTAATCAAATAATCCTTTATCGTATGAAAGAAATAGCACTAACAAAAATAAATAACAGTCTATAAAATCAAATATTTACAGAGCTTTTTTGAAAAAAAAATAATTATTAAATTTTAATACGATAAAAAAAATTTAATTTCATTTTCTTAAGTGAAGCTAAACAAGTTAAATGTATTTAAATTACAGATGCCAAGGCATAGAAAATGTTTAAAAGGAAAAATACAGAGTATTTTAATTAACCAATTGAGTTTAGTTTTGCCTTTCTTGAACGAAAAATAGAATCTGCCCAAACTAGTTTCTTTTTTAAATTCTATTTATATTTTACTTTTGCTTATTCTTTTGTGATTTTTGGCTTACTATTGAAGTAAAAAAATGAAAGGATTGAATAAGATTAAATAAGATTTGGATTAAAATGGAAAGTTTATTTAGGGAATTCCACATTGAATAGATGTTATAGCTTTTTTGAAGGAGAGTTTGAGCTTAATTAAAATGAATTGTCATACTAGAGAATATAGATGATGAGTCTATGAAATTAATTTGGCTTTATTTATGAAAAAGTCATCAGCCTTAAAGCAAGCTCTGTCAAAATCACTTGTCTTCTTTTAAATATTTAACCATTGAATTAAAAAAAATTTACCCAGAAAATTTGCCTAAACATTTTGGATTTTGTTTCGATAATGATAGAGTATGCTACTTCTTATTGTTTAGACTCATTTATTTTTTTAGAAGTTTTCCCTCTTTTTCTCTAATTTAGGCATAAAGACATATGTATATCATCACATTCACTGCCTTCTTTTTCCCAAAAAATTTCTGAACAGTTTTTAGACATTAGACGGGTTAATAACAAATTAAGCACAATCTTATTTTCAATAAAAAGATGAAAAATAAATGGGGCTTTTATGCGATAGTACGACAAATATTTGTAAGATAGATTTTGGCATGCATTTATTGCAAACTTAACGCAAAAAGAAAATTTTAATGACCTTAAAATATTTTAAGGACTTCTAAAGGCCCCCTGTGATACTAGAAATATAATTTAGTAAAAGAAACTTTTAGTTAGCAAGGGTAAATGAAATTAAAGTAAAGCTAAACATGTAAAGAACACTTATCAGATTCCACTCAAAAAATGTCGTAAAACTTGATGTGATTACTAAGAAAGGTTACAGTCCATAAACAAACAAAGGATGGAAACATTTCAATTACTCCTCAACAAAAATACAATAATAAAATTATGTTTAATCATTTCATGAGTTTATATTGTGGTAAACCCCAATAACACATTTCCAGAATGTTAATCCTTCTCATTCTACAGCAATTTTGATGGTAATTTTCAGAATTCAACCCAGAAAAAGGCCTAAACCACTCGCTAAATAAGTCTCAGACTACAAGAATAGAGGAGAAAAATAAAATGTTAAAAAAAATTTATGAGAACCAATATTTCTAGATTTTAATTCAAGGTGTTAGTTGGAATTAATTATTAGAAGTAATCTAATTTTATTTCTCAAAGAAAGGTTAGATAAGTGCATAATATTTATGAAATATAGTTTTTTTGAAAACGAGAGCTAAAAGTAATGTCATGATCTAATTGGATGGAAATATTTTAACTTTGAATATTATTAGAAAGGTCTAATTTGCTTATAAAAATCATTAATTTTTGACCCACTATCTTTATTAAAATAAAGGTCATGATGTTTAGTATCCCGATTAAGTAATAAAATTCTTCCAATATAATACGGATTAGTTTTTTAACTAATTTAGTTTAACGTAAATAATCATTGGTTATGTGAATTTAAAAAAATGCAAGTACATTTGAGAATTATTTAATGCATTCTGACGAAAAGAGCAGGAAATCTAACCGACTAGGTATGCCAAAGTCAGTTGTTTTTTTTCGTTGTTTTAACCATTGAAATTATTATTTTCTAAATCACCCTGAAGTTTTGCCTAGACATCTTTGGTTCAAAATATTTATAGTATGTGAGGAATCCCGGTTCATGTTTCTATTTAGAATTTAAACTTTACGGGCTGGAGCCACATTTTGCTCTTTTCCTTTATTTGGCAATATATCGTATTAGCTTCTCTCGTTTTCAAAATATTTTTCTTTTACTGAAACATACAAAATAAGAAAAATAGCAATCGTACACAATTCATATGTTTTTCAAAGAGATGATTAATACCAAATGAACATAACAATGAAAAACAAATAAAAATAAAAAAATTTCTCAAAATTTTTAGTTAAAAAAAATTGACTGATGGTCTTTTACTCACAAATCAGAGAATTGATGAGTGATCTATTACTATTAACTGGGGTGGAAAAAAGGAAATTGCTTTTGTCTCGTTTTTGATTTTGATAACGTTCTAATACCGAAATTAATTTAACAGAAATATGTCCTTTAGTTCAATGTAAAGTCCAAAATGAGTGAAAAACGAGCAAATTTCAGGATTGAAGAAGCATTCAACTATATCATAAATTGAGAAAAAACCTTACTATTCCGAAGAAAGTTCAAATTTTGAGAGAAAAAAAAATTTGGTCCGTTAAGTTAGATAAATTGCATAGAAATTCT